AGATAGTAAAGCAAGGTTGGCCAGGGGCAGGGGGCCGTTCAGTGGTAGAGCGGTTGCTAGCACATGTGGCCCTGAGTTTGTTCCCAGCATCGAAAAACAAAACCAAATTAAAATTCCCATACCTGCTGATTATTTGTTGCAGCTGAGGTATGGGTATAAAAAATTATTTATACTATTTACTACTTCATAATATTGTCTTTATTTTTGAGTATTTTGAAAACTCCCATAAATTTTTTGTTTTGAAATTACAGACATGTATCACTAAACCAGGTTCCATAAGTTTTTAAAAGCCCAGTGAAATGCTGGATGTGGTTATTCATTTCTGCAATCCCATCTACTCAGGCAGGAGGCAGAGATCAGGAGGACAGTGGTTTAAGGCCAGCCTGTGCAAAAAAGTTATCGAGACACCATCTCAACAAATAAACTGGGTGTGGTGCTTCACATCTATAATCTCAGCTACACAGGAGGCATAGGTAGGAGGGCTGTGATCCAGCAGTGGCTCTGGGGAAAAACATGAGACTGTATCCAAAAAATAAGCAAAAAAGGATTGGGAAGTGGCTCAAATGGTAGAGTGCCTATTAAGTGCAAGACCCTGAGTCAAACCCTAGTACTGCCAAAAAAAAAAAAAAAAAAAGAAAAAAAGAGGGGTGAGCAAGTTGAATGGAATGAATTTTGAAGGCCTTTTCTCTCCTAACCCAGATAATTGTTTTGTTTTGGTTTTTTTCTATTGTTTTTTGTGGTAATGGGGTTTGAACTCAGGGTCTACACTTTAAGCCACTCCACCAGTCCTTTTATGTGATGAGATTTTTTGAGATAGGATCTGGTGAATTATTTGCCCCAGCTGGCTTCATTTTGTGATTCTCCTGATTTCTGCCTAACACCAGTGCCCGGCAAAAGAATTAAGCTGCCTTCCAAAACAGAGTGTATGAACCCATATTTATTCTTTTTTTTTTTTGGCAGTACTGGGATTTGAACTCAGGGTCACGTACTTGCTAGGCAGGCCCCTGCCACTTGAGCTACTCTGCCAGCCCTCCTAACTCCAGGTAACTGTAAAACCTTAGTTCAGCTGTGCCCTTCTTTCATCTTCTCATGGTCGCTTCCTGGTCCCAAGTGGCTCCTTCTGTCCTTAGAACTGTTGTTACAGCTAGCCCTACCCTGATTTGGCTAAGCCTTCCTCAGGAAAACTGCTTTATTCCTTTAGTTTTTTTTTTTTTTTTTTTTTTTTTGTGGTACTGAGGCTTGGACTCAGGGCCTACATCTCCAGTCACTCCACCAGCTCTTTTTCTTTTTTTAATTTTTTTTTTTTTGGCAGCACAGGAGTTTGAACTCAGGACCTCGGGCTTGATAGGCAGGCACTTTACCATGTGAGCCACTTCACCAGCCTCAGCCCTTTTTTTATGAAGGATTTTTTTCGAGATAGGGTCTTAAGAACTATTTGCCTGGGTTGGCTTTAAACCTCGATCCTCCTAAATAGCTAGGATTATAGGCGTGAGCCACCGGCACCTGGCTACTTTTAGTCTTAATAATAACAACTATTTCCTGCCTGCTTGCAATTCCCCACTCTACACTCCCTGGCCAGGCTTTACCATACAATACAGCCAATGGTCCTTCACCTCGACCTCCCGACTTCCCATGGCCTGGCCAGTTTCTCTTTTGGCAGTGTACAGCTTGCATGCTAGGCAGGCGCTTTTCACCATGAGCCCTACCCTAGTTCCATATGCTAGGCCTGAGCACTGGAATCTTCTATTTTCTTGGTTCCCAAGTTTTATTGAAGAACTCAAACAAAATATTCCAGATAAATGAGTTTTAGATTTATTTGTTTTTGCAGGACTGAGAATCAAACCCAGGGCAGATACATGAGTTTATTCCTCATCTTCCTCCTCTTTATCATGGTTAATCTGGAAGTACCATGATTTGTAATTTTCTTTGCTGTTACCAAGTACAGAATCTATGGGATTCATAGATTCTTCAATAAAATATTGAACATATATATATATATATGTATTTTTTTTGGCAGTGCTGGGGTTTGTGCTTGCTAGGTAGGTGTTTTTTAATCGAGTCATATCTCTAGCCCTTTCTTCAAATATTTCTTCATTTACTTCTTTTTTGGCAGCAAAAAAGGGTTTGAACTCAGGGCCTCACACTTGCTAGGCAGTGATCTTGCTGTGTGAGCCACTCTGCAACCCCTTCTTCAAATATTTCTCAGTGAGCTATTTCAAATACCTTTCAGGACAAATCCCCCCAGAAGTTACGGAGATGTTGCTGTTGCTCCTTTAGATGGTTACAGCCCCTCCACCAGGACTCCAGCCTTTCCATTCCCTTTCTCTTGGAGACTGCTGGAAACTGGCAGCATCATGATTCCATCTTCTATGGAATCAAGGTGAACTTCAGAACCTGCTTGTTTTTGGTCTCCTTCACTACAAGCTTTGTCACAAGCACCACAGTGGCAGTGGAGTCAGAAAGGGCCAGAATCCTTTTGTCCAATGGGCTTTTCCATAGCCCAACAGTTAAGAAAGATGCTGCTCAGGCGAAAGAGGGATGAAAAACCCAGAGCCAATCTGTGGGGCCTTCCCCACTACACCCTCCAATTCCTTCTGTTCCCTGCAACACAAAAGCCTCTGAGCATGGGCACCCACACAAGCCGCCACACCAAACCAGAGGACTGCCCACCCCTTCCCCCAGCTTTCTGCTCATCTCTAGCCACTCTCTTTTCACCTTGCACCTTGTACTTCAGCCACATTGATGTACTGACTTTGTTGTTGTTACTTTGGTGGTACTGGGGTTTGAACGCAAAGCTTCATGCTTGCTTGGCGGGTGCTCTACCACTTGAGTCATACCCCCAACCTTTTTTGCTCTGGTTATTTTGGGGATAGGGTCTTGCCTTTTCCCTAGGCAGGCCTTGACCACAATCTTATTTTAAGCTTCCTGTTGTTGCAGGGATGACAGGCAGATGCAGTTACATGCAGTTTTTTTTTTCTGTTGGGATGGGGTCTCATGGCCTGGAACTGGGATCCTCCTGATCTCAACCTCCCAGGGGTGAGCCACCAGTGCCCAGCTGCTATTTATTTTGGTGGTACTGACATTTGAACTCAGGGCCTCACATTTGCTAGGCAGGCACTCTGCTACTTGAGTCACACTCTCCACCCCTTGCTATTTTTTGAGTGCCTGGGATTGAACCCCAGGCCTTGCAAATGCTAAGCACAGGCTCTACCTATGAAAGCTCATGCCATCAGAACTGACCCACACCCCTAGTTCCTAACACACTGACATCAGTAGACCTCTGGGCCTTGGCACGTGCCATGCCTCTGTTTAAAATGTGTCAATGGCTCCCTGTTACTTCTGGACAAAGACCACTCTGCTGGCGCATACAAAGAACTGCATGACCTAGCCCAACTTACCTTTCTCCACTGCCTCAGGATTGTGAACATGCAGGTCTTTCCTTGGAAGAAACCCCCAGCTCCTTCGCTTGGATCCCTCAAATCTAGGCTCACCCAGCATTTCTCCCTACTTTCCCAGATCCCGCCCCCAGCCTGAGATCTCCCTTGTGGCTCATCTGTTTCTCCAAAGGCAGGATTGCTCCTGAATCTGTTTTTATTCATCATTGTAGCCCCCTACCTAGCACAGGCATAGACACAGCTTATAACGGCTGGCTGAATGAATGGACAAACCCCTCAATGTGCAGATAGGACAATATGACTGTGATAGAGGAAGCCACCTACCTGTCACACGGCTGATCTGAAGTCTTCTGACTACTCAGCTCTTTCATTCACATTTCCCCAGTTCCCCGTTCCCTTCTGTCCTCAATGCAGGACTCAAAAGTAATTCTGGATTCTTTCTTGGCTGCCGAGTCAGTAACCTGCTCATGCTATCAGAACTCAGCTGGAGCCTCTTGCTTTGATGTCACCAACAGAACATCCTTTGACAGCATTGCCCATGGCAGCAGGAAGTTCTGGAGAAAGCTAAAACTCTTCAGCATCCTCACCCTGGAGGTAGGTCACAAGAGAGACCTGGTGGGCTAAGCATCAGGTGACGCCAGGGGAGGGGGAGTAGGAGGTTGCCCCTTTGCAGGCTCACTATGTTGAAACCTCAGTCAAGATCAACAATAACATCAGCACAGTCTTTCAGCTGCTCATCCCACAGATCTATGAGCTGTGGGGCTCAATTCAAGAGTGCAAGGGAGCCACCAGTGGCTCATGCCTGTAGTCCTAGCTACTCAGGAGGCAGAGATCAAAAAGATCATAGTTCATAGCCAGCCAGGGCAAATAGTTCTTGAGGTCCTATTTCAAAAAACTCCTTCACAAAAAAGGGCTGGTGGAGTGGCTCAAGGTTTAGGCCCTGAATTCAAACCCCAGTACTGTAAAAAAAAAAAGAGTGCAAGGGAGTGAAAAGCAGGGTTCCATCTTGGGCCAAGCCTCAGGAGGCCAAGGACCAAAGCAGGGCAAGGTGGATGCACCTTGGCGGTGACCCCTCACTGGGCAGCTATCCTCCCTGAAGCCCAGAGAACACTCAAAATCCACAAGGGCTGTGCTGGGTCCAGGGAAGGATGATGCCATGGAAGGATATGATCTGGATGGGCCCTGGTTTTCTCTGTACAATGGTGGAAATACCAGGGTCAGGGGTACCGACAACTAAGAACAGACAGGCCTTTTCCCAAAGATACATCCATTCTTCCTCAGGGCCAAGGATGAACACAACTTTCTCTAGGTGTTCCAGAAGAGGTCAAAAAGGGATCTTAGGTACAATGACATTGACAAAAGCAGGATGCCTGTTCAGCTTGGGACTGGTGAGAGATCACCCTGCCTATGGTGGAGAACCTGGACTCAAACTCCTGCTGCTGGTATCCTCCCTTGCAGTAAAACAATGGAAAAATCCCTGTTTCTCAACTGCAGAAATCAATGCCAGTGCTGCCACCTGCTGACTAGAGAGCTCTGTCCAGCCTTGCTTGTTCTGACTCCCTCTGGCATTTTGAAGGCTGTAAGCCATGCACCCTGTGTCTTTCAATTAATAACTTCTTTATTCTGGAAAAGCAAATCAAATTCATGTTCATATAAACACTGACATTACAAAGTACAGGGAACACGGGAAAAGAGGAGGAAACAAAACCCTCTACAAATCCTGCTAATACTGTCTCACCCAAGACCATGATGCTTTGTCCCATATTCAATCACTTATAATAAACCACAAATAAAATCTTCTCTGGAAGATATAATGCTCCTCGTTGAGACGGCAGGGAAAAGGGACCAGAAGTAGGGTAGGAGGCTTTATTCTTTTGGCAGATCATCTCAGTCATTATAGATATTGCTGCACTGTTAATAAAAAATATATGCTTCTCTGTAAAGCATTTAAAAAAAAATTCCAAGAATGAGATGGCTGAGGTCTCAGCTCAAGTATCTCCAAATACATTGTTGTCCATTTCCTGACCTTTCCGTGTGTTATTTCTTGGTTGTTTTCCGGATCAATGCCATTCTCTGAAAGAAGAGAAAAATAAACAGTTACACAGCTTAGAGTCAAGAACTTTCTGGAGGGCTGGAGGCGTGGCTCAAGTGGTAGAGTGTCTGCCTCACAAGCGTGAAGCCCTGAGTTCAAACTCCTATACCACTACCACAGAAAAAAAAAAGAAGCTTTCTGGACCATCGACATGCAGCTAGCTGGCAGCATGGTCCACACTATAGGCTGGAACCTTGAGGACCTATATACAGTCACAGGACAGCTCAGCAGGCTCCTTCTAAACAGAGAGAATTTTGCGGAGCTCTGAGAGATGTCAGATAGGCCAGTAGGCCTATTTCACCAACCAAAACTCCCAACCTACTCTAGGATAGAGGATGGCAAAAAAGCTAAATGCAGAAGGGGACAGATCTTGTCTTTTGGGGCAAAAAGGGACAGGCCAGCAAGCATGTGTTTTCTATGCTCTCCCCACCCCAATCTCTTCTTTCTGTGGAAACAGAGAAAATAGAGAAAGGGCCTCAATTTCTGACACATCGCCACATATTTCACACCCAAAGACCTGCAGTGGAGGGAAACAAGACACCTAGCACAGCCCATCATGGACACCTTCAGTTCATGTGTTTCCATTTTAGTAAAAATTCCCAGCCACTTGCCAAATTACTAACTTGCTTTGCTCACTCTTTCTTATCAAGAGATTGTCCCAACATTATGCTATTTGTTGACCAAATAAATAGGGCTGAAAAGTGGGTAATTTGGGAGGGGAGTCACAGTGGCAGTATAGAGAAACTCCCTTCTGGAGAACAGTGAACCTCTGACTTAGCCTACTGACAGCATTCTGGTAGAGCTTCCTCCGTAAGCTTTGTAAACACTCACTGCAGAGATACCAGGCCATGGAAACACAAGGGACACTCATCCAGGACTGCCCAGTCTATCAAGCTTGGAAACAGCTCACTTTTCAAATCAGAGTAGCCAGTTAAATTAAGACAGAAAGAAGTTGGGCACCAGTGGCTCACTTCTGTAATCCTAGCTACTAAGAAGACAGAGATCAGGAGGAGTGTGGATTTGAAGCCAGCCTGGGCAAATAGTTTTTGAGACCCTATCTTGAGAAAACCATCACAAAAAAAGGGCTTGGAGTGGCTCAAGTTGTAGGCCCTGAGTTCAAATCCCAGTACTGAAAAAAAAAAAAAGATAGCAGCCTTGTTAGAGAGGTCAACACTGCTACTGGACAGATCAATGACAGGAACAACTTGTGCCACAGCAGCAGCAGTATTCTCACAATTCCCCTAGGTTCCTTGTTAAGAGGGGCTGAGAACAAAGGTTAAGCTGGCACACAAGCCAGGATGCTCAAGTACAGTATATTTCTGCTTTCCTCGACCTGCCCTATGGATTCCTAGGGCCATACAGGGTGTTCAAATCAGCAACAAAGAAGATTTGTTTAAGGAGGTGTGCAGGGATGAGCTCCATCCATATCAGAAGGGCCTAGAATCAAGAGCTTTAGTGACACATCAGAGCTTAAGAGAAAAAACTGAGAGCCCATGTGGGAACAGCACAGCACCAAGAAATATCTGATTGCTGCTGCCTCTGTCTTCTCTGACCTTTGGGCCACAGTGAAGCTTGCTGTGTGGGGGAAGTGAGACCTCCTAGAAGGAAGCTGTGAGCATCCAGTCTAAGGTGAGGTTCAAGAGCACCAGGGCTCTGGTGGCTCCTCACCTGTTTATGAGCTTCTGTAGTGCAAGCTTTTTTGTACGGTCGGATTTCTTCAGAGCCGAATCCTGGAATCCACATGTTCCACTGTCGCTCTGTAAGGAAGAAGCCAGCACAGAGATAAGGGTACCAGGAAGGCAGCGTCAGGAGTGCAAGCAAGCATCAAGGAGGATGAATCTAGGTATCAACTCTACTAACACTAACCCTACAGAGCGATTGTATGGAATACAAATGAGAAAACTGCATGTCACTTCTCCAAGGTTTTAAAAGACACAATCTGAGCCTCTTGCAAACAAAAAAAGGGTAAAAGCAAGGGTGTGGTGGTTCATAACTATAATCCCAGCATTCGGGATGCTGAGGCAGGAGAACTGGACTTCCAAGCCAGCCTGGCCTACATAGTCCAATCCTGTCTCAAAAACAACTGTCTAACAGCCATACCACCCTGAACATGCCTGGTCTCATCTCAAAAACAACAACGAAAAAAAAAAAGGAAGGAAGGAAAAGAAAAATAGGGTAAATTAGTTGAAGCTGTCAGTGCTGAGCCCTAAGGATTTCAACAGCTCATCTAACCCACAGAAAATGATTTCTTCTTTTTTTTGGCAGTACTGTGATTTGAACTCAGTACCTCATACTTGCTCTGTTACTTGAGCCACTCCTCCAGCCCTTTTTACTGTTGGGTATTTTTGAGATAGGGTCTCACAAACCATTTGCCTGGGGCTGGCTTCAAACTGCGATCCTCCTGATCTCTGCCTCCCAAGTAGCTAGGATTACAGGGCTGAGCCACCAGTCCCCAGTAAATAAAGTCATTTCTTTGCTCAGCTGTCTTACTTCTTTCTTATACTCAAAGTAATCTCTCGAAAACCCAAAGATGAGGGATAGAAAGGCATTCCTAGCATCCTGGAGTTAAGAGCCAAAGCCAGCTGGGCATTTGTGGCTCATGCCTAGCTACTTGGGAGGCTGAGATTGGTAGGACTGTGGTTCCAGGACAGCATGTGCAAAAAGTTCATTAGACCCCTCTCGTGACACCTCTCAGAAAAAGCTGGGCATGGCAGTATGCACCTGTCATCCTAGGTATTGGGAGAATCATGAATAGGAGGATGGCAGTCTAGGCCAGCATGATCAAAAAATGAAACTGCATCTTAAAAATAACCACAGTAAAAAAGCTGGTGGTGTGGCTCAAGTGATAGAGTGCTTGACTAGCAAGTGTGAAGTCCTGAGTTCAAACCCCAGTACCACCAACAAAAGAGCCAAAGCCTTGCTCTGCTGCTTTACTGTACAGCTATATGTCATTGAATCTCAATTTCTTCATCTTTTACATGATAATAACAATACTAATAACCACCTCGGAGGGGCTAGGAATTCAATGACATATGTATATCCCAGACCAGCGTCTGGGATAAATGTAGAGTAAATCCACTCTACAGCTCCATAATATTGTGCTCCCACAAATAAAGGTGCAATGTACTTTAAACATATCCAATTTTCACAATTTGCTGGGCAATGGTGATTCTTGCCTGCAATCTTAGCTACTGGGAGGATCGAAGTTCAAGGCTAGGCTGGGCAAATAGTCTGCAAGACCCTATCTTCAAAATAACCAGAGCAAAATGGACTAGAAGTATGGCTCAAATGGTAGAGCACAAGTTCAAACTCCAGTCATACATACAAAAAAATCAAACTTACACAGGATTATTAGGGAGTAAGTCTCTGTTCAAAAGGATTTACCTGTGGACCCCTCTTTTTCTTTTTGCATATTACCCTATCTCCTGATTAATAACAAGGAAATGAGATTACATTTAAAGAAGAAAAGAACTAAGTACCATATTATTGATTTACTTCAACTGAAGACTCCCTCAGATATTGAGATCCCAGGCATAAAATATGGTTCCTGACTTATTCCAAATCATGTACATATGGACCCCTTTCCCCCTCCTTATTAGTACCCCTAAAGCACAGAAAACAAAATTTGTTTTACAAAATTTATTTATTATTTGGTGGGAATGGGATTTGAACTCAAGGCTTTGGGCTTGCAAAACTACCTCTTGCACCACAACTCCACTTCTTTTTTTTTTTTTGGCGGTACTGGGGCTTGAACACAGGGCCTACACCTTGAGCCACTCCATCAGCCCTTTTGTTGTGATGGGTTGTTCAAGATAGGGTCTCGAGAATTATTTGCTTGGGCTGGCTTCAAACCACGATCCTCCTGATCTCTGCCTCCTGAGTAGCTAGGATTACAGACGTGAGCCGCCGGCACCTGGCTCCAGTCCATGTTGCTTTTGTTATTTTGGAGATGAGGGGGTCTCACAAACTCTTTGCCTGGGTTGGCCTCAAACCATGATCCAGGGTGGGGAGGTGGCTGAGGGGGAGAGGCGATGTGGGAAGTGTAAATAATGTACAATATAAGTCTAATCGAAATTGTCACTAGGAATCCCCTAGTATAAGGACTATATCCTAATAAAAAAATTACCAAAAAAACTCAAAACTGTGATCCACCCAGTGTCAGTCTCCCAAGTAGTTAGGATTATAGGCTTGAGCCACCAGCACCTGGCTTTGTTTTTGTTTTTTTTTGAGATACTGGGACTTGAACTCAGGACATACATCTTAAGCCACAATACCAACCCTTTTTTGTGTTGGGTTTTTTCGAGCTAGGGTCTTGTGAACTATTTGCCTGGGCTGGCTTCGAACTGCAATCCTCCTGATCTCTGCCTCTCCAGTAGCTAGGATTACAGGCATGAGCCACCAGTGACCAGCTGGCTTTGTTTTTTGACTTGGGGTCTTGCTAGTTGCCCAGGCTAGCCTCACACTTGTAGACTCAAGTGATCTTCCTGTCTTAGCCTCTCAAGTAGCTAGGAATACAAGTATGCACCACCACACCCAGCTAACAATTGTTATCAGTTTTGTTTGTTTGCTTCTTTTAGTGTGATCTGGGGATTGAACCCAGGGCCTCCCAAATGCTAGGTAATGTCCTATCACTGCACTACACCCTTAACTCCTGCTATTGTTTCAAGCCAGTGCTTTGGGGTAGTTATATGATAGCTGGAATATCTGTTCTCTGTTGTCAGTACCAGCAGTGCTAGCCAGAAGTGTGTTACTTACTCTACTTAGACTATCAGAGCAACGGTTTCTTGACATTGGGATGAAAACTTGTCAATACTCTGTCATGGGCTGATTTGCACTAAATCTCCTAATATTTTCTGCCTCATTCACTAGGCTGGCACTCTTTGTAGTCACAGACTTTCCTCCTTGTTTTGGTTACATTATAACACATGCAGAAGTGGGCTTGCTCTTTTCAAATGATTATGGTTATCAGTGGTAGGTGTCTCCCAGAAAAAAACAAGCTCAAATTTAATGTCCATTGAGTGGGACAGAAGAATTCAAAGTGTTTATAGATCATAATTACAATTTTCTTTGTGTGCATGTGTGTGTTTTGAGGCAGGGTCTCACCAGACAGCTAGCTCAGGCTGGCTTTGAACTCACTCTGTAGCCCAGGCTGGCCTCAAACTCACAATTTTCTTACCTCAGTCTCCCCAGAGCTGAGACTACAGACATAAGCCTCTAGGCCCAACTGTGAGTGTAATTTTCTTAGAAAAAAATGCATAAATAGGTTCAAAACCACAAGGGAATACTGAGAAACAAAGTGTTATATAGGCCTTGAATTTGCTAAACAAGTGCTCTACCAATGAGCGACAGTCCCAGCCCTGAGGAGCAGTTTCATTTCAATGGTAGAGACATAACGGTAGTAATTACTAAGCACTTACTTTGTGCCATGCCCTATGGCAGTCACTTTACAAACATAATCTGTAATTCTCACAATTACTGGATAAGAGTGATATTATGATCCCTACTCTACAAATGAGGAAAAAGGCTCTAAGAGAAATCAAGTAGAAAGGGTAAAGTGATACATCTGGAAAGTGGAAGAATGTGGTTTAAATCCAGTACTAGAATGATTCTGTCCTCTATTTAGTGCTGCTCCTGAATGAATATATTAATCCCAGGACCCAAAAGTCTGGTCCTGGCACAAAGGTTCCTCCGACTCTGCTTTCCTTGAGTCCTGAAGGAGCAATCATGGAGATACTTCATAAAAACAAGACCACATACCTAGATGTAGCTGGACATCTTTCACTTCCAGGGTGCTGGACTTGCGATGCCGAGCAAGCTGGCAGGCGGCTGTCACTACGCTTTCAATAAAATCGTCAGCAATCTGCAGCAGCATCTGCAGAAGGCAAAGTGGGGGAGAGTAACCATGACATTGGCAGGCTAGGCTCCTGTTGCTGGGACAACTGTTTTTCTGCCGGAATCACATATTTAGTCAGGTTTTTTTTTTTTTCTTGCAGTGCTGGGGATGGAACCCAAGCAAGTGCTCTTCCATTGAGCTACATTGTATCCCCAGCCCTTTTTAGTTAGGTCTTCTATTAGTAGGCCTGGAATCAGCATTTGGGTTATGGCAGGGATGAGGAATGAGGAGGACAATCAAAACATTACCCAGCCGGTGGCTCACACCTGTAATCCTAGCTATTCAGGAGGCAAAGATCAGGAGGACTGTGGCTCAAAACCTGCCCTGGCAAATAGTTCAAGAGACTCTATCTGGAAAAAACCCATAGCAAAAAAGGGCTGGTTGAGCAGCTCAAGGTGTAGGTCCTGAGCTCAAACGCCAGTATTGCAAAAACAAAAACAAAACAAACAAAAAAAAAAAACCTCATTACCCAGCTTAAGCACAACCTATTCTGAGCATTATTTTCTGCTCTTTCTACTCAGTAGAGATCAACTGCACAATTCTTCCTTTCCATACTTTTTTTTCTGAATTAGACAGGAAAACAAAAGTGGACTGATGTAATTCTTCACTCACAGTCACTTAAAGAACTTGTATTTCCATTCTCATTCTCTTACTTAGTCATTATAATGCTCCTGCAAAGAAATTGGGACATGGATTTTTATCTTCAGTGTCTAGAGGAAAATGCTACAAATCAGGAAGACCAATTTGCTCATAGCCCTGTACATAGAAAGCAGCAGAAACAGTCGTCAACCTCAAGGGTTGAGTCTAAACCTTGTCTGAGGGCTTTCCGCTTTACTATCAATTATTACTGGACAGAATATGAGGAGCAAGATTAGAACTCTGAAGATAAAAATCTACATGAAAAAGTGGAAATTTTGGTGAGTTAATACATTTCCTGTGGCTTTCTCTGCTGACCAACAGAAATAAACCAGCTAAATTTACAGCCACATAGATGTTTGTATAGATACAAGCATTGCTTGCTCTGCTGCACCATTAATTCCTTGTCATCTTCCTGATAGAAATCAAATGGACGCCATCTACAGAAAAGATTTCTGATTGAACATAGCATATCAAAACAGAAATAAACCAGCTAAATTTACAGCCACATAGATGTTTGTATAGATACAAGCATTGCTTGCTCTGCTGCACCATTAATTCCTTGTCATCTTCCTGATAGAAATCAAATGGACACCATCTACAGAAAAGATTTCTGATTGAACATAGAATATCAAAACCTAAGCTCAATAAAATGATAGTGAAAGAAAAAAATATAAATCCACAGGGCAATATAAATAGGATAAAAAAACTCAATGGATATGAGATTCCAATAAACTGGGGTTTTTTTGTTTATTTTGTTGTTTTGAGATGGGATCTGACTGTTGTGCAAGCTGGTCTTGAATTCACATTCTTCCTACCTTACCCCTGCAATTCTGAGATTACAGATATATGCCAACACAACCAGTTTAGTGGCTCATTTTTTAAGAATGGATGCCTAGAGGTGTGGCCAAGTAGTAGAATGCTTGCCTACCAAGCATAAGTCCGAGTTCAAACCCCAGTACTGTAAAAACAACAACAACAAAAAAATCCAAAATAACCCAGTGCCAGTGGCTCAAGCCTGTAATCCTAGCTACTCAGAAGGCAGAGATCAGGAGGATCGAGATTCGAAAGCAGCCTGGGCAAACAGTTCTCAAGATCCTATCTAGAAAAAACTCATGGGATCGGGGGGAAGGTGGCCCAAACAATGTACACACATGTGAGTAAATGTAAAAATGATAAAATAAAAAAATAAAAATAAAAATAAAAACCCTTCACAAAAAAAGGCTAGTGGAGTGGGCTCAAGGTGTAGGCCCTGAGTTTAAACCTGTACTGCAAAAAAAAAAAAACAAAAAAAAACTTGCACACAAATTTTTAAAACAAGGAAAACAGATTTGTATGTGAATGTTTACAGTAACATTACTCATAAAAGCTAAGAAGGAAAAACAAGGGCCCAGCCCAGTGGTCCACAACTATAATCCTAGCTACTCAGGAGATGGGGAGGTCAAGACCAGTTATGACAAGAAGTTATCAAGACCTGTCCCAACAAACCAGGGCTGGTGGAGTGGCTCAAGAGGCAGAGCGCCTGCCTAGTAAGTGAAAGGCAAGTACTGCCAAAAAAAAAGAAGAAATAACCAAAATGTCTATCAAACATGAGGCCCTGAGTTCAAACCCCAGTGCCTTGAGGCTGGCATAGTGACTCAAGTGGTAGAGTGCCTGCCTAGCAAACATGAAGCCCTGAGTTCAGACCCCATTCCTGGGGAAAAAAAAAAACTGTAACCAAAAAAAAAAAAAAGAAAAGAAAGAAAGGCCTCCAATACCTCAGAACAGTGAATGAAAAAAACACAAAGACTTATTACATGAAAATCCAGAAGAGAAAAAAGATCATAAAAGGGTGGAATCAAAATAGCATAAAATGTCTTTTTTTAAATGTCAAAAGAGACATAGAATGAGGCAGGCACAGTGGCTCACACCTGTAATTCCAGCTACTTGGGAGGCAGAGAGCAAGAGGATCACAGTTTGAGGCCAGTCCAGGCAAAAAGTTAGCAAGATGTTATCTCAATAAATAAGCCTAGCACAGTGGTTTATGTCTGTCATCCCAGTCATGCAGGAGGCCATAAGTAGGAGTGAGTACAGTGTGAGGCCAGACCCAGGCAAAAACACAAGACCTTACTGAAGAAATAACTGAAGTGAAAAAGCCCAAAAAGATAGAAGTCAGTGTGGTAGTTTGTGCCTATAATCCCAGCACTCAGGTGACTAAGGCAAAAATATTTTGAGTTCAAGGCCAGCCTGGGCTACATAATGAGACCCTGTCTCCAAAAAAAGCACACAGTGTCTGAGGTACCCAAACCCACCTTACCTCCTCCACATCTTCATCCAGTTGCTCATTAGGGTCCACTTCTCTTACTAAGTCCTGTAATTTCTTCTTGGTCAATACCTAAAGTTAATTGGGGGAAGATTTTTCAGTGAGTAAGGAGGCAAAACAACCATCACCCCATACTAAAGAAAGGTAATCAAATTGCTGGGGTTAGTTTCAAGTTTCCAGAGTTCACAATCTGGCCTATTCGGTGGTATTGTCCTAAAACTATACTCTCAAGACAGAAGTATCCCAGGGAAGGACAAAAGCAGTAGTTTGGAAGAAAGACCAGCATCCAAAAGTTAGATAGTTTATTTCAGCCTCATCGCTTTCTTACCCCCCTCTACATTAAGCAGTTTGCAATTCTCTGACAAACTGTACCCTTCATACCTGTTGCCTATGGACGTGTTCTTCCTCCCTTCTTCCCACATGCTCAACTCATGGTACTCCTTTCTAATGCCTTTACTGGCCTACCCAGGTAAAGCAAGCACTTCTTCTTTGACCTCTTCTGTGCACTATGCACCCTTCTATCACTGTCCATATTTATAAACGTGCCATGTCTGACTTAATAGTCTAAAAATTCTGTGAGGGCAGTGAACATGTGTTCATCTTTGTATAACTAAATACTGTACGAGTATGCATAGTTACCATCCCTCTTTCATAAAGGAAGTGTTGTGTTACAGGAGAGGAGCCAGAGTTGTAGCTCAGTGGTGCAGCACTTGCCTACCATGTATGAGGACTTGACTGGATCCTCAGCATCACAAAAATAAATAGATAAATAAATGAATATTTGTTAATGTAGCTCAGTGGTTGAATGTTTTTCTAGCATGCAGGAGGCCCTGGATTCGATCCCCAGTACCACCGACACACAAAAAAATTGTTAATGATGTCTCACATCCATCCATTCTTCCCCATTCTACCATTATTACCTAATTCAACCCTTTACCACGTCTTGATTTACTGCAAGTCTTAGAATTGGTCTTCTTCCAGTCTACCTTCTTTCCTACCCTTTCCTACCACTTTTGTCTCCTTACTGTCAAGATAATCCCTCTAAGACAATTATTATTATGTTAATGTTACTCCCTGTTGTCTACCTGCCAAGATTGTCTACTTCCTAAAAGTTCCAATGAAAACTTTCTAGTATAGACCTACTATGTCCTGTTGTAATCCTATCTACAGCTTTACCTCTTGCTCTTCTTCATTAGACTCCATATTTGACATAGGCTGGTCTCCTGATTCTCTCTGCCCAACCTTCCCCCATTCAATTTTGCTAGTCCCTCCACCCATGACTACTCAAACTATAAAACCCAAGCAAAGGGATTATACTTATTTTTTATGGCTCTGGAGGGTAGAATTAGAATCAGGGGTTGAGAGAGAGGAGCAAATTTTGGAATCAGTGCAGAAATTAATAATGGTAGCCACTGGATGAACTAAAAGAAATGACTGGAGACAAGAGCATTTTCATTTTAGGAAGAACCCATTTATTATATTACATGACAAGGGTATAGCTAACATGTAACACCTGCCATATGCAAGGTATTGTGTTAATATATATGGGTGTGGATATATGTAAATATGCATATACAGCCACATACAACACAGAATAAAAACTAGTATAATTTGATAAAGAATGTTAGAGCTCCAGAGCAGGGAAAAAGACCTTCTATTTCAACTGAGAGGAAGAGGCAGTGCCTAAGATGGCCATTTCTGAAAGCATTACTGGTTCAAAGAACAGAAAGAGGTGCCTATGGAGAGGAAAGGGTAGGAAGAAAATACCTGATTGTTTTCAGGGCTAAGACGACCCCCTGTCCCAGGAGTGCCTGGTATCTTTACCACTGTAGTGCTATTGGCCATGGAGACTTGTGGAGGGGTGCTGGCTGGTTCCGGTTTTATGGATGAGAAATTGGAGAGGTTGATTAGGGCTGAGGGGCCAAACTGGTTCATAATCTGTCGAGCTTTGGACTTCAGCTCATAGAGCTTATCAAGATCCTGTTTCTTTTTGGAGCTGTGAGGACCAAGGCCAATGGACTAGAAAAGGAAAACATGAGAATTAGCTCTAGAAACACCTATGATAAAGGGTGAGTTTTGAAAGTAAGCTTAGATGAGATTTGTCAGACTTTGACTTTGAGGGGTCTTCAGTATATCTGGGATGGTAACCATTTGATACCTATGCATTAAAATGGAAGGAATGCTCTCACCTGGTATTTAGAAACCATCTCTTCTCCAAAAGCTACATGAAATAGTCCATAAAATTAAAATAAGGAAGAAAATAAATGAAATGAGGAATCTTATGGACAAAAATAAACCAGAATAAGCAAGACATTTTTGAGGATTCTGTATAAACAGAATACTTACTTAAGCATTACATGCATTATTTTTGAAATATCAAATAATGTTAAATTCAAATAAATCATGACACAATCATATACTTAAAACTCAGTCTCAAAGCTTAAGAAAATAGATTAGTTCATTTTCCCATTTCAAAACACACACACCTGAGTCTACACAGGGCTCTGCCCAGTAAACACAATTTTTAGCAACTGTTAAAATCAAGCTCTTCTTTATCATAAAGAGCAATTTTTCTCTGAGTGTTAGCAATCTGTAAGTACATGCAGAGACCTTATTCTGAAGCAGCTGAGATGCCTAAATCTTAAGAGTCATGAAGATGACTCTGTGGACATCATCTTTGTCATCAGTATCAGAAGCACATTTACCAAGCTCTGCCCAGTGGCCTCAAGGACTTTACTTACAGCTATCTGAGTGTCTAGATCTTTAATTACATCAGCAACAGCTGTGAGCCCGGTGAACTGAGAGGCAGCCATTTTCAAAAGCTACCTGTAAATGAACAACTAGCATCAAGTACCACCCTTGCCACAGAAGCATTCCAGATGTGTGGCTTGGCACATCTTCACCAACCAGGACTGAGGCAAACTAGAGTCATAGGAACATATCTCCTTGTCACTACTGGGTACCAAGAAAAGTATCTATTTTCCTTCCTCCCTTCCTTCCTCCTTTCTTTTTTTCAGTTTAGGGTCTTGCAATGTAGCCCAGGCTGGCCTCAAACTCACAAACCACTTGCCTCAGTTTCCCTAGTGCTGGAATTACAGGCTTGTGCTACCACACCAGACTCATACACATTAATAAATATTAAAATTTTAATGAATATTTTTATTTTAATGAATATTTTTAATTAATTTTTAAATGAATATTAAAAAAATTGATGGAGGCCAGGTGCTGATTGCTCATGTCTGTAATCCTAGATACTCAGGACGCAGTGATCAGGAAGACTGATGTTTAAGGCCAGCCTGGGCAAAATAATTCATGAAATCCTATCTCAAAAATATCCAACACAAAAAAGGGTTGATAGAGTACCTCAAGTGGTAGAGTGCCTGCCTAGCAAATGTGAAGACCCAAGTTCAAACCCCAGTACTGCTACAAATAAAAAGAAAAAAGATTGATGGTGTCAGGCATGGTGGCACATACTTATAATCCTAGTAATAGGTAATTTGAGGTGAAAGAATCAATTGAGTCCAGAGGTTTGAGACCACTAGACAACAGAGTGAGATCCTGTCTCAAAAAAAAAAAAAAGAAAAAGAAAATAGCCAGGTACTGTGGACACGTCTATAATCCCAGAACTCAAGAGGCTGAAGCAGGAGGATCATGAGTTTGAGGCCAGGCTGGGCTACACAGTGAGATGCTGCCTCAAAACAAACAAACAAACAAAAAACAAAAAATTAATGATGAGGCTGGGAGTGTAGCTCAGCGGTAGAGCACAAACTTAGTATGCACAAGACCCTGGGGTTTAATCCCTAGTATCAAGAATATTTAAAACAATTTTTAAAAACTTTTTTTGGGGAGAGTGTTTATGTTGCCCAGTGTTGTCTTGAATTTGTGAGCTCAAGTGATACTCCAGCCTCTGCCTCCTGAGTAGATGGGACTACAGGCATGTACCACCACACCCAGCAAATTAAAAAAAATTAAATTAAAAATTAAAGAGTCAGAGCTGGGCAGGTGTAGACCCTGAGTTCAAGCCCCCGTACCATACACACACACACACACACACACACACCACACACACACACACAGTGTTCCATTGTTAAGGATGAAGATCAGCTTGTAAAATAATTTGACAAAATTATGGGGTTTGAACCTGCAGGAATCATGTCACATCAATGGCTTTCAGGACTGACAAAGTTTGGCAATCTGTGATTTTTATTTATTTATTTTTGCAGTACTGGGGACTGAACTCAGGGCTTAGCACTGATAGGCAGGTGCCTGAGTCACATTCCCAGCCCTACTTTAGCTTCCTGGATGTGTATCTCTATCTACCCTACTCTTGTCCCTATTGCTGAGTTCTATCCCAACACATTGTCTTTTTTTAATTTTTTAAAAAATTTCTTGGTGGTACTGGAATTTGAACTCAAGGCCTCATGCTTGCTATACAGGCACTCTACTGCTTGAAGCCATTTTGCCAGCCCTTTTTTGTGCCAGGTATTATTGAGATAGGGTCTTGTTAACCATTTGCAATGGCTGGCTTTAAACTGCAATCCTCCTGATCTCTGCCTTCTGAGTAGCTAGGATTACTGAGCCACTGGCGCCTGGCTGACTATCTAATACAAGATATTATGTTCTGATTTACACTTAATAAAAACAACTAACTATGCACTGGTTAAATGACCAAGAGAAACTGGGCTGACTTGTTGGCCAAGATCAGCTAATGGGGACAGCAGAGCATAGGATCACTTGTTTTTTAATTATATGTGGCCTATGCCTCTCTCTCTCCTACCCACAGATGTTACTTAGAGAAGAGTCAGGACAGGAAAAGATTAACATGGTAACAGTCCTTCTAATGTTACAAAAGCAAACAATTTTCCTAGAGCCACTTTAAGAATAAGCCTTATAAAACTCCCTCAGCTACCACCAAAGGGCTCAGTCCTTCTGAGGAAGCTAAGGATAAGTTGTGAAGAGGCTCTCACTTTATCCAGTGAGTAGCATCATCTGCCTAGTGGCAGGCAGCACCAGCCCAGCACACCCACACACCATGGCCTCCATCTCCCTGAGAGTCTGGATCTACTCTGTTCTCATACCACACATCCATGAGGTCCTTCACAGAAGATAAGATCAATATCCTCAGTAAAACAACTGGTGTAAATGGGGACCTGGTGAAGAGCTGCTGTTGAGGTCAGCCTGGGCTATACAGGAGAAACCTTGTCTCAGAAAAGAAAAGGAAAGGGATGAGGAGGGAGGGAGGAGGGAAGGGGAGAAGAGAAGAAAAATTGCTGGGGGAGTGGCTCAAGTGTTAGGATCTCCTGCCTACTTCTGTCTAGCAAGCCAAGGCCTTGAGTACAAAGCCCAGTACTGCCAAAAAAAAAAAAGAAAGAAAGAAGAGAAAAAGTTAATATTTAAGCCTGCACAGTGAAGCATGACTATAGTCCCAGCTCCATGGGAGACTGAGGCAAGAGAATCAATTGAGTCCAGAGTTTAGGGCCAGCCTAAGTAACATAGTGAGAACCCTATCTCTCAAAATAAAAAACGAAAAACAAAAAACCAGTAATATAAAGTGCTTTCCTAGAATACTTGAGGTCTTGCATTTGGTTCCCAGAACTACAAAATAAATACAGCAAAAAAAAAAAAAAGTAGATAAAATGTAAATATATATGTGAATTTTAAAAAGTATAAGAAAACACAGCCTGATCAGAAAGGTCAATGACTCCATTTCCAGATTACTGTTGACTGACAACTTTCATCAAACCCAACTGTGGATGATACTTACCAAGCACTGCAAATATGAATATGAAGTGACTGCAAATAACTTGAATTCCATTATGTAATGTACCATGGTTACCTTTGGGTTACCTAAATCTCTAACTCTCACTTCCTCACAATGTCAAGAGATATGTCAAAACAGGACTGGGGATAAGGATGAAGTGGTAGAGTTCTTCCCCAGCTAATGTGATGCCCTGAGATCAAACCCCAGCACTGAAAAAAAAAAGAAAAAAGTGATAGGTAAAAAACAGGCATTAACTGTGGGCCATGTGAAAGAAAAGTTATATAACTAACCTTTACTGGCACCTATGTGGAAATTATATGCTATGAGATTTGCAAGTAACTCCAGAAAGTCTATGCCTCAGTGAGCTACAAATGAAAATATTTAGAGTTGAGGATGAAGCTCAGTGGTGGAGTAATTGCTTAGCATTTATGAGGCCCTGTGTTCAATCTTCAGTATGGTGGGGGAAAAAAAGTGATGGAAATAGGGTATTAAAGAACAAATTGTTTTAATCACCTTTTTTTTAAAAAAATAAAAATATTTAGGAAGTTATTGTTAATTATTTTTGTAGTAACAGGGGTTGAACTCAGAGACTGGCACTTGCTAGGCAGATGCTCTACCACTGGAGCCATGGCCCCAGCTTTTCCAGTATGTTCTCGCATTTTTGCCCCAGCAGGCCTGGACTTCAAGCCTCCTATATATGCTTCCAACATGGGTAGGATGACAAGGGCATGCCACCATGCTCAGCTACTGGTCAAGATGGGGACTCACTCAAGGCCTGGGCTGGCCTTGAACCTTGATCTTCCTGATCTCTGTCTCCCAAGAAGCAGGGATTACAGCTGTAAGTTACTGGGGCCTGCCAGAAACCTATTTAAACACAATACTAGTACTGGCAGAGTGGCTCAAATGGTAAGAGTGCCTGTCTAGCAGGCCTAAGGCCCTGAGTTCAATCCTCACTGCTGCCAAAAAAACAAAAAACAAGAGACAAGGGGACTACCAGCCTAATGGCAATCTGGCTGTTTCTCTCCTCTCTGTCTGGCTTATTGCTGTATCTAAAGGAATTCCTATTTCCCAGTCTAAATAAAATAAAAAGAATCTCTTTTTTTTTTTTTTGTGGGACTGGGGTCTGAATTCAGGGCTTCATGCTTTACAAAGCAGGTGCTTTACCGCTTAAGCCAGGCCTCTAGGCCATTTTTTGCTGTGGTTATTTTGGAGATGGGATCCCTTCAACTATTTGCCAAAGTTGGTTTCCAACTGGGATCCTCTCAATCTCAGCTTCCCAAGCAGCTAGGATCACAGGTATGAGCCACTAGCACTTGGCCAAGAATCAATTATTTGTAGTCTAAGACCAGAAAGCAACAGAAACAGGGATTCTTTTTTGCAGTTTGAAACTAATATTCATTTTGTCTAGTTTGATCCTATACTGGTAATTTTGACTGAACAAAAATGAATACGGTACAGTAGTCAAGAAATGGACTCTAGTGGCAGTGTCTGAGTTTAAGTTCTCATACCGTCACTTAGTTATATGTTGGTGAGCAAGTTACCTAATAGTCTCTTTGTACCTCAATTTCTTTTACTGAATAAAGTGTATCTTGTGGAATTTTTGTGGTAATTCACTGAACTCATGAAACTAAAGCACTTAGAAGAATGTAAAAAACATGTTTGCTAAAATTATATATGTCCTCTATTCTAAGTCTTAGTTATAGTTAGTGTATGAAGAGGTTTCACTCATCCTGCTATTTAACTAATACACCTACCAATATGTTGGTAGCACTCCAAATCATTCTTTTATTTGTGTATTTTTTTGAGACAGGTGTCTGTATGTAGCCCATGAGGGCCTTGAACACAACAGCTTCCTGAATGCTGAGATTACCACTGTGTACCACCACACCTGGCTTCTATAAGAGATTTTTTAAAAAAGGAACAGGGAGGGCTGGAGGTATAGCTCAGTAGTAGGGTGCTTGCCCAAATATGTGAAGCCATAGGTTTGATCCTCTGAACTGCAAAAAAAGAGAAAAAAATAAAGTTTTATGTGGTGGCATGGGCCACCAGCTACTTGGGAGGCTGAGGCAGAAAGATGGCTTGAATCTAAGAGTTTGAGGGCAGCTTAGGAAACAATAGTGAGATACTACCTCAAAAAATTTTTAAAAAATGGAACAGTGAATTAAAAAATGATAGCAGTAAGTGGTCAGTAGAAGACTGGTAAGAGGAATTTTTCTGTGTGTATATGTGGTACTGGGGTTGAACTCAGGGCCTTGAACTTGCTAGGTAGGCACTCTAATACTTCAGCCATGCCACTAGTCCTTTTTTACTTTATTTTTCTAATAGGGTCTGGATTTTATGCTCTGGCAGGCTTGCTCTGGCAGGCTTGAACCTTAATCCTGCTGTTTATACTTCCCAAGTAACTGGGATGACAGGTGCTCACCAACTACCATGCCCAGCTTTTATTATTGGTTGAGATGGGGTCTCAGTAACTTTGCCTGGGCTGTCTTGAACCTCCATCCTCCTATTTCTACCTCCAAAGTACTTAAGATTATAGGCAATTACATGCCCAATTAAGAGAGCCATCTTTGAACGAGTTTCTACATTCATAATTAGGAGCTGGACCAGGCAAACTCTAGTGTCTTTCAGCTCTAACAATCTGTATAAATTTTAAATTAAGTCAATATGTGCAGATTTCAAAATTTGTTCACCTCCAATACATCTATTTCACACTGTGGACTAAACATTGTAGATGTACTGCCTCCAGTGTATTTTGGGGCTTTCCATGAAGACCTCCAGTCAGAAGTAATGTCTTAGGTGTGGGTCAAGCAGTGAAGTATCTTCTTTGTAAGAAGCCCTGAGTTCCAGCCCTAGTCCCATTAAAAAAAAAAAAAAAAAAAAAAAGTAGTGTCTTAGCTGGGTGCTGGTGGCTCACACCTGTAATCCTAGCTACTAAGGAGGCAGAGATGAGGAAGATCAGGTTTGAAGTCAGCGCAGGCAAATAGTTCTACCAGACCAAATCTGAAAAAAACCCATCCCAAAAAAAAAAAAAAAAAAAGGGCTGGTGGAGTGGCTCAAGGTGTGTAGGCCCTAAGTTCAAACCCCAGTACTGAAAAAAAAAAAAAAAACTAGTGTCTTATGTACATACCTGCTCTATTTCTCACACAGTAATTTTCTGATCAGGTACTATGAAATCCTATTATAATAACTCAATTAATGCCATAGTTACAAATAAGTGAAACTGATTATATTTCACAAATGTAGATACAGATTCTAGCTCAGGAATAAATTACATTAATTAATCTATCACTGAAATAGTGACATGGGCATGCTTTCTCTCACAATCAGGTGTAAGTAAGTTCTGGTCACTTGTATACAGGCAACTTGAAGCTAGTACAGGCTAAGCCACTGGGGAAAAACCAGTTTTAACTAAGTTAGCCCAGTTGCCCAAACATCTAGTACATGCTAACAATTAATTGCAAAATTAATCCAATTTAAGCCCTTGGTCTTCAAGTTGCCTCTTCTTGGCCTTCTAAATTTAAAATTAAAATGTATCTTACTCTATTGCAAGGAAAAACTCTACAAATGTTCCTCTTTTCCATCTTGAATATCTATGTTTTTGTGAAAACACAGGAATTTAGTTCTCCTCAAATATCACACTACATAAGTACCCAAATAAATTATAGTCCTCTACATTAGGAGGAGTCCTAAGAAGGGGGGTGGGAGTGCTTCAATTCAATGACATGCTTTGTATAACTATTACTTCTACTTTGCTTATGGTCAAGCTGATGGAGAGAAGTCCTCTCAGAAAAGTAGGGAGGGGGAAGCTGTAACATCAAAGTTCTAAAAACTTTTGCAGATATCAAGACTTCATGCTCACTTGTGCAGATACAGTTCAATAGCATGACTGTGATCATAACATCATGGTTTGCTTGTGCCATGAATAGGGTGAAATATGAGTCTGGTTTTTGGAAAAAATAAGGGAAAAGAAGCAGAAAAAGTTTTAGAGGCACATGTAACTGGAGACACTAAAATTCAGTCCTGTGTTAATCTCTCTGAACCTATTTGTTTATCTGTACAATGGGACTAACGATACCTAACTTGTGGGGCTGTGATAATTGATATAATACTTGAAAGTGCTTAAGCTGTGCCTGGTTAATCTGAGTAGGCTTCAGTAAAAGATGTTATTGGAGAAGGGAAGTGACTGGTCTAAGTCTCTTTACCATCTTTTTCTAAAATCAGCCACCTCTAGTAAACACTTGTTCTAAAAATATAGGGCACGACTTACTTATTTGTGACTTTCTAAATAGCTTATTAAAAAAATAAATAACATTGGGCTTCAATTAAACGTTTCCTTACTGGTTAAGTGACATTCACTGTATCTATGTCAATAGAGTAACCAAAGTCAAAATGAAGTCTTAGAAAAGGTAAAAATTTCCTTCCTTAGTTTGAAGGTAGATATTCTAGAAGCATTTATTTAAAAAAAAAATATTAGCCAGACATCTCTTATTTGCCACACACAGCAGAGGACCTGATTATTCGTCGTCTCACTGTGGTCCTAAGCCTTCTTTGGACCTTCATCTCCTTAAAAATAAAACAGGAGTTTAAAGATGATCTTGTCCTGCCTTTCCATCTCTGACATTCTATTTGAGATGCAGCGAACTGTGCTCAGTCGCGGTTGAGTGGAATGGACTTATCAAGTATAAAACTGAGTTCAAACTGCTTGTAACTTCACATCCGATTCGAAATAACGAAGCAAAAAACGAAGATGCTTGCATGTGGGCTTCCTAGATTAAGTATCTGACACAAGAAAAGCCTGCCTGCCAAAAAGCCAAGCAGGCAGCGAGGAGTTGTCTTCCCCTGAATACATCCTTTATCACTCTGGGTACAGAGAATACTAGAAAAAAAAAATTGATCGCTAACTCTTTTCCAAATCCTCTTCCTCTCCCTTTGCCTTGAAGGCTGATCTCACAGCCACGGCCCCTTCCATCCTCTGCTTTTAGGAGCTCGGGACCTCACAGCCCTGTGCTCTCAGGAACTCGGAGTCTCCAAGTCCCGATCCCTTTCCCACAGCAGTCCCTGTCTTCACTGCCCGCTTCGGTTCCCTCCCAAACTCGTCTTCTCTGCCTCTCCGGGACCTAAGTCTTCGTTGCCCTGTTTCTGAATCCTTAGGAGCCCGGGTCTTCGCTGTCCCGCTTCTGTCTCTTAGGAGCCCCGAGTCCTCGCTGTTCCACTTTTACCTCTCTGGAGCCCGTGTCTTCACGCCCCGCTTCGTTCCGACCCTCTCCTCCTAAAAGTACGAGTCCTCACAATCCTGTCCCTCTCGGATGGCTTTCCCTCAGGTGCCAAAGAACTCACATCCGTCCCGGTTCCCTAAGTCTCATTCGGAGCCCGGCTCCCCACAGCCGCGTCTTCTCCGAGCCCGATCCCCTCAAGTCCCGTCCCAAGAGCCTGATTCCTCACAGCCCAGTCTCCTCCACAACCTGGTTCTTCAAACACTGACCCACTGTGGGTCTGGGTCCTGACTCCCTCCTCCCGCTCTTCTTCCTCAACTGCCAGGGCCCAAGACTCACAGGCAGCAGCGTCTATCTCCCCATGATATGCGGAGACTGCCCCAGTGAAGCTTTCGTCTCAGCAGCCGGTCCGACTGCGCGGCCCTCCCCGAGTACTTCCGGCACCGCTCCCCGCCTCCAACCCGGAAACGCGCGGCTCTTCCGGCCGGCGGGCGCGCGCCTGGCTTGCGCAGGCGCAGACTGCACTACAACACGTGGTTGCGGTATTAAGCTGTAGCTTGTTTCTGCCCGTCGTGCCGTTTCCTGCTTGTGGCTGAATGGTGGCGTGGGCGAGTTCTGCGTTTTCTACCTCAGCATCGAGTCCTGCCCTAGCTGTTTCTTCCCTACTCATCTTGTATCTTTCGCTAGCGTGACCGGTAACTGACGCTGTCAGATGGCTTCGAAGTCGCCATTTTTGGTTGGTTCCTTTGTCGTGCTATCTGGACGGGGATATCACCTGGAACTGCTGTACCCCATAGGTATCCTGTTTGACTCTCAACAGGGAACTTCGCAGTACGAAAGCCTCGGGGAAGAGACCGGTGTGCCTGCGAATTTGCAGTTTGATAACAATTGGGGGCTCACTGTGTGTTGGGAGCTCTCTTAAACCCTCCCCATATGTCATATGATCATTTAGAGAAAGCCTTTGAGAATTCAGCAAGTTTATTACTAGCTAGCTAATAACTGCAGGGCCTCAATTAGAACTGAGAATTCTTACTCCAAAGCCTGAGCCTGTCTGTAACAAACTCTGATCCTTGAGTTTTTTCATCCATCAAATGCTTGGTGACAACTGCTGTACTTTTTACCGTATTCTAGATGCTAAGCATATAAGTAACACCAGTTTTGGGATCTGTGGAGTTCTCAGTAAAATAGATAATCCACAAACATCAAAAGAATGTATAAAGGTCTGGAATAGCCCAGAGCAAGCTGCCAGCAAAAATGAAGAAGCTTTGCCCAGATTAGTGAAGCAACCTTCCATCTTACTATCTTCCCAGCTTTATCTTACTACGTTCCAGTCCACCCATCCAAATTCTCAGATCCCAGGCCTCATAACCATTAGGTGCCTAACTGCCTTGCTAGACTTACCTGACACTGTTCTGTTCATTCTCTGTAGTTTGGCTTTTTTTTTTTGGGGGGGGCAGTTGGTGGTACTGGGATTTGATCTCAGGGCCTTCTAAGCAGGTTCTCTACCTCTTGAGCAATGCCCCCAGCCTGGCATATCATACCTCTTGAGCCATGCACCCCAGCCTGGCATATCAGTTTTTGTTGGACTCCTCTAAGTTTAAGACCCTGTTTGAATATGTATTCATTCAAGAAATGTTCCTTCTTTCATTGCATGCCAAGCCTTTTGCTATGTGCTGGGTTCATACTGGTGGCTAAGACATTACCATCTATAGTAAGTGCACAGAAGAGTAAGAATACTAGAACATGTTAGGTTTATCTATTTGGGTGATGGACGGCCTGAACCAGCACTCTGCATTAGAGAAGAGCTTACTCAAGGATCAAGATGGCCAAGGTGGCTGGAGTTTAATGACAAGAAGAGGCAATGAGATGGAACAGATAGGAAAGGGTTCATTTCATGCCAGATCTTGTACACTATGGTGGGGACTTGTGATTTTATTCAGTGTGGAGAAAAGGCATTAAGGGTTAGTGAGAGGAGTGAAATGACTTAAGAGTTAACACTGGTGGATTATAGGAGGAGCCCCCAACAATTGACAGCACCCATCTCTGAGCTTCCCACCAGTTTCTGCTACACATCTGTTTCCTATTGCAGCAGTGGAAGAGCTATTTATCTCCCTTCTCTTGTTAATTTCTGCTTTGTAAAGGACAAAGAACTCCATATACCATTAAAATAAAGTATCTTAACAGTTTACTTTTGTCTAAAAAATATGTACGTTTATGACATGTATGTACATACAAAAAAGTCTTAACAAAATAAACGTTGAACAGTTAATAGCAATTTTGGGAAAGCATTTTTACATTTTACATAATTTCTGTACTGCTTTAATTTCTTTACAATTATATATATTATATATATTCAGTACAGAGGATTGAACCCAGGGCCTTGTGAATATTAGGCAGGCTCTTTCCCACTGAGGTACATCCATTTGTTTATCTATTTATAATTTTCAAGACAGGGTCTCACTATGTATTCCAGGGTGGCCTCAAATTCGTCATCCTCTTGACTCAGCCTTTCAAGTACTGGGATTACAGGTGTGCCCCACCACACCTAGCTTATATTAAAAGTGGAAGCCAGGCATGGTGGTAGTCCCAGCTCTTTGGAAAACTGAGGCTAAAAGATCACTTGAACCCACAAGTTCAAGACCAGCCTGGGCAACGTAGGAAGAGCCCATCTCAAAAAAAAAAAAGTTGAACTGAGTATGAATGATTCCATTTTTATGCCATTTCAGAAAAGGCAAACTATAGGGCAAGAGAACACTGGTTGCCAGGATTAGGAATATAGCACTAGAAATAGAACCAAAAGAAGTTTTGAGGGTGATAGAAATATTTTGGTTATGGTAATAGGTACTTGAATGTATGATTTTGTTAAAATTCACAGATAACGGGGGGGGGGGAAAGGTGAATTTACTGTGTATTAATTATAACTTAATAAGCCTATTATGTGGAGAAATTATAGAAGGTAAGGACTTTAAAATATTTTAATTACATAAGTAACACAATAAGAAGAGAATTCATTATTCTCTTTTTAAAAATTCCTGTCACTGCCCTCATCCTGATCTCCTCCCCCTTCCCAGAGGTAATGGGATAGGTGTTCTTCCAGATCTTTTAAAATGTAAACACATATACACGCACTGGCTTTTGCACTGATACTGCACGCCGACGTGCTCTCTATCAATGATGGGCTATACCACATTCGGCACCATATGCGCACACCATATGTGGCACGCTGCTTATCCCTAGATGTCGGTGTTCAGGCCGCTACCAGTTTTAGCTCTTCCTCTGGAAGGCGGCAGGTCAGGTCCAGGGTGGATGGCTGAGTGGCACAAATCTACGCATTTTCAATGTTGACAGGTTGGGATTCGTGTCGGCCCCAGACAGAAACCCACAGCCGCCTTCCCGCAGCGCGATCTGCGCGGAGCTGTTAAAACCCCCGGAAGGAACCCGCGGAGCACTGCGGCCGGCAGCAGATTCCCAGCCAGCTCCCGCAGCCGCTCCTCCCGCCCCGCCCTCGGCGCCCGCCAGCGCCCGCCAGCGCCTTCCCAGCAAGCACTGCTCAAATTTGCATATAAACGCCCGTCCTGGCCTTTACTTCCAAATAAAAACCAAAAGGAAAATAATAGATACTCTTTGTGAACGCTCCCCTCCTGCTCAGAAGATTCTGGAGTTCCGTCCTTAAATTAAGGAATACAGAATCGGAAATTGTTTTGGCTGTGTTTTCACCTATACCAAAAGATGGATTGAGTAGCACTGCCACTCTGTTTGTGGCAGTACTTGGGCAAAAAGGGCTTCTGTCGTGAGTGGCACATGTAGGGCAACTTGAGTGCTCTACGTGCGGAATCGACATCAAGAGATTTCGGAAGCATAATTTTTCGACTTTTGGGCAGCTGGTGATCGTTGGTCCTGGCGCCCTTTTATAGAGTTGGCTAATAATAGTTAGGTTTGTTTTTTTTTTTTTTATCTTTTGGAACTTCTGTGTGTTGTAGTTCTTTTTCTCCCCAGTGTTTGAAAGCGCTTATAGTTTTTTTTTGCTGTGTATTTGCCAAGAGAAGGGCTTTAATTTCCACTGGTTGTGATGTTTTTCCTTTCAAACTCGGGTAGACGCTAAGAGAAGCACCGCCAGCACTGGGTCTTTGTTCACAATGTCGGTGGTTCCTGCCTGTAGTAATCGTAACTATCCAGGAGACAGAGATCAGCAGAATCACGGTTCCAAGCCAGCCGGGGGGAATGGTTCGTACACCAAAAAAGAAAAAAGAAAATTGAGGTTTAAGCAAGCTAAGTACTATAGTGTTTAACAAAGGGCACTATATTCTGCACCAAAAGGAATATCCCTACTCCTTCGGATGCCTTCACTGATTCCCTCACTGAGGATCAGAATGTTGTATTTCACATGTAAAATATTTGTTTAATATATAAAAACATATTTTGAATAATATTTTATATATACCAATATTAATTTCTAAAGCAGAGTGGATGCTCTTTCTAAAGCTTTTGTCTTTTAAAGAGAAAAAAGCAATAGTTCCAAACAATTAAGTAGCACTCTCCCACTTCTGATAGCAACAACTTTTCTGGACAGCAACTCAGCAACAGGCACCAAATTTAAAACCTTTGTGGGGCAAAGGTAATTCTAGCACTTCTGAGGTGGAGACAGGGGGATTGCTAGTTAGAACCCCGGTCTGGATTACATAGTGAGACCCTGTCTGAAACAAAACAAAAGAAAACCCTAAAACCTTAACAAAATTCATCTCCTAGGTATGAATCCTTATAGGTAAAACTATGGTTTTGTTTCTTGTTTTGGTACTGGGGTTTCAACTCAGGGCCTACCTGCTTGCTTGGCAGGTACTCTACCACTTGATCCACTCTGCCAGCCCTAAAACTGTTTCAGAGGAGATTTCGCTGCTGTGCTCACACTTTTAATTCCAGCTACTAGGAGATGGCAATTGGGAGACTAGAAGCTCAAGGCCAGTCCAGACAAAAAGTTGAAGAGGCCCCATTTCAACTGTAGCTGGGCGTGGTGGGATGCACCTGTCCCCAGCTATGCTTGGAAGAAGGGCTGGGGGCATGGCTCAGAGGATAGAGCACTTGCCTAGCAAGTGCAAGGCCCTGAGTTCAAACCCCAGTACTGCCAGGAAAAAAAAAAAAGAGTGGTAGAAGGAAAAAACTTCAGTTATGCTGGAAGCATAAATAGGAAGATTGCTGTCCATGCCAGTCCAGGCAAAAACATAAACACATGGCCCTATTTAAAAAAGCACAAAAGGACTGCCTAGCAAACACCACACACACACACACACACACACACACACACACACAAAGGGGAGATTTAGCACTTAACCTCTCACTGCTTATAGTTTTGTGAGGAGAACAGCAGAGTACAGCACTGAATTTAGTGTCTAGGAAAGTGTTCCTGAGACAGTCACCTCAAAGCTAAAATCTACAGAATGAATAG